GTCCCTTTAAAAATGGTTGGGATGGTAATTTTGTTTTGCGCATTTTACCACAATTAAAAAAATAGACTACACACACATTAAAAAAAAAAAAAACTCTCTTGGTAGTACAACATACACCTCATTTGAAAGGATCAAGATCCCAAATGAATGATTCAATTAAGCCAAGTGAAAATGCAGAGTGTGTATAAGGAATAGAGGTGCAAGACAAAGAAGGAACAGCTACCACCATGAACAGCCTGTTTTAGAGTTGAGGAAGGGTTAAGCATAAGGTTTGGTTTTTGGACTTTTGATAGTTGCACATAACATTTTCTTTAATGGCTTTTAAAATATAAAGTTATATCATACTTAAGCATTTTAGAAAAATCTCTGCAGAGCTTTAGGATGTTGGGGCCTGTGATGTTTACCTGATTAGATCAGGCAGTTTGAGAAGCCTCCACGGTACTCACCTATCTACACGAAGCTGGCAGACAATGCTTAGCGCATCGACAACCCCTTCTTCTTTCAACTGTCGACAGCCAATGGATGTAGCAATAAAACACCCTGTTCTACCTATCCCCGCACTGGAAAAACAAAACAAGGAATAAAAAGGTGTGGAAAAATGACAAAGATAAAATACATTCTTTTAGAAGGGTGCTTTTAAATCAGAAACAACAGTGAATATAATAATAGCTCTCATGTGTTGAGTATTACAAACCCGGCCCTATGCTAAGTGCTTAAAATATATTCTTTCATTTGGTTATAAGTAGTAGGATGAGGGGGTGGCGGGAGGTGATGGGAGGGGAGAATAGTAAAAAGGCATTGTAATTGTTCTAGAAAAAATAATTAGGGTCTGACCTTAGGTAAGGCATGGGCAGTAGAAAGGAGGCAGGAGAGTTAGATACATCACAAATGTGAATCTGGAGGACGGAATGAAGAGGGAGAAAGGCAAAAAGGCAAAGATGTGCCTAGGCTTGGAGGGCAGGAAGACTGGAGGGCACCTCTGAGGCAAAGGAGAATTTTGGATAAGGCGGATTTGAGGGAGGGAGGGAAGGAGGGAAGGAAGGAGGGAGGAGATTGGTTTTGGAAATGTTGATGTTGAGAGGTCTTAGTTTAGGAGAGAGGATGTGGCTAGAGGGACATATTTCCAAGTCATTTATATGGAGGTGACGACTAAACAGAAGTACTGTCCTGGAGGGTTTACACATTCATCTGCCTTGGACAGTACGCCCATAACATCAACCTGAAAAACTCTCTCTCCAAGCAATTTCAAACACTAACAGTCTTTATGTAAATTTTTCTCAAATCTACATCTAAACTCCCTAAATTTCCTAAACTCTAGACTGTCATTCCAGCTCCTAGCTGGAAATCTTGATGTTACTCTTTTGTACTTGCTTCAGTTCATTTTATCTAAATTCGATGTATCTAAAACAGAATTAATTATCTTTTCCCTCAATGGTATTACCAGCCAGCCACAAGTTCTCCAGCCTGGAAATCTTGGAGCCTTCTTCGACATCTCCCCCTCTCTCACCTCCCACATTCAATCTGTTATCACTTCTTCTATTTTCTATCTCTACTGAGCCTTTGGGACCCATGCTTTCCTTTCTGTAGACTGAACTCACGTTTTTAACATCTCCTTATTTCCTGATTAGCAGTGATCTTATTACGGTTTCCAAGTTTCAAGTCTTTTCCTGGACTAATTCATGATACACACAGCTACTAGGTTCACCTTTATGAAATAAGGATTTAATTATATTACTCCCTACTCAGAAACTATAGATGGCTCCCATCAGTTATAGTATAATGTCTACCCTTCCTACTGTGATATTCATGACCTTGCAAAATCAATCTTTCTGTCTTTTTGCTGTCTTCCCTGTATCTTAGGTGCCATTGTTTTTATTTACATGAATCGTTGTGAAAATTTTCTTTTATTTTCCAATTTTCCTTTCTGTATTAATGATATCTTGTCAGTCAGCAATGCTCTCCCCATCACCTTTTAAAACCACAAACATTGATCATTTTTTAAGACCCAGTTCAACATTATTCCAATTTTTAGAGGCTTTCCTCAATCCCCATGGTTAGAATTAATTATCCCCTCTTGGCACACAAATATCATTTATTTCTCACATTTGGCACCTTTTTCCTGTTGACTGTGAGTGCAGAGAATTCAGAGGAAGAATGAGTCCCTTTTAGTTGAAGTGTTTATAGAGAGTGTGTTCCATTGAAGAAATAGGGTTTGAACCATACCCTATGAATGGCAGGCATTTTGGCTGTCATAAATGAGAGAAGATATTTCAGGTATGGCAATGGTATGAGGAAAGAACGTATGAGGAATGGAATATATGATTTGGGACAATAAGTATATTAACTTGCCTTGAAGAGAAGAGAAAGTTATTTTAGTGTAACAGTGGGAAATAAGGAGGAAGCTACCCTGGGATCTTACAAGGAAGGCTAAGAGGTTTGGACTTCATTCCCTATGCTCTTTTGTTGTTGTTGTTAAGAATTTGATGAAAACTATAAAATTT